CACACTATATAAAGACCCCATTGGTTGGTGAAATCGACACTAGTGCATACACAAGAGGGCAAGCCGATTTTTAAGAGTCAAGTATCTCTTCTCATGGTTATTCCAAATGTTGATGATGTTGTGTGAACCATTTGAGGTGTCACACTTGGGGCACTAGGCTCTTAAGCTCCATGGAATCAAGCTACAACAAAGAGGTATCTATTCTATCTACTTTTGTTATCCTAGTACATATGATTATATGCTAGTTAAGGTAATACCTTGGAAAATTGATATTTGCATGTATAATAGAGAAAACATAGATCCAATGTATTTAGGGTTGCATGTACACCATAGGAGTGTTAGAATTCTCATAACCCAACAAATGCTTGTGAGCGGTGATCTGCATAGTTAGCTGAGGGTGGTGGTCTTCGAAAGGTTGTTGGATCACGGTTTGGACATTGAGAGGGAACATGTCATATTCCACATCTGTTACATGTACCATAAATAATGTTTTGGTTGTAAGCCCAAGAAAACTGACTATGATTGCCTCCTCCCTGGTTTGTGTTGTTGAAGTCTCCTTGAGGACGGTTGTAGTTTCCTCGTCCACGATGGTTGAATTGTCCTCGACCGCGATTGTTTCCTGCCCTGTTTGTGTAGAAGGCTTGAGGAGATGAAGTGTGTGTAGGCTGAAGGTGTAGTCCAAGTTGTGATAAAAGATTGTGTAGATTTTGTAGCTGATCTGTGGCGGCTTTGGAAGGTGGTAAGGCTGTGGTATTGCAGTTGGTAGTGGCAGTCGTGAAGGCTTGGACAGGAGGGACATCAGGCACAGATTTACGTACCATATAGTCATGATCTGAGAGAAGACCATTCAATTCGGTGAAGGCTGTGGGAGTTTGACGAGCAAGGAGGGTTGATTTTAAACCATTGTATTCCTCCCTAAGACCGGCAATCACAAGCATAACTAGGTCTTTATCCTTCATAGGTTCACCAATATTAGCTAGGGCATCAGCATACCCTTGGGCTCGGTTGAGGTTTCATCACCCTTCATCTCGAGTTTGAGAAGTTGGGTTTTAAGTGTATACTCCCTGGAAGATGTATGTGGTGCATAGGATTTTTCAAGAGACAGCCATAGTTCATGAGATGTATTGCCCTGGACATGCTGGAACGAAGATTCTGAAATTGTAGAGAGTAAAAGCATACGTATATGAGAATCATTAGCTATCTTGGTGACATGGCTTGGGTTTGGGACATCATTGGAGGTGGTCTTCTTCTCAGATGAAGTAGTTTTAGTTGTTGCTTCTGGGCAAGGAAAGTCCCATCAACATATCCGATCAGGCCATTAGTAGTCAAGAAAGGTTGGATCATGGTTTTCCAATAACCATAGTTGTTTGGTGACAAGGTAAAACCGAATTTGTGAGAGTTGTGGGCAGTCTTGTCTGCTATAGAGAAATCTTGGAGTGCCATGGATGTGAAAGACAAAAGAAAACACGGAGAAAAAAGTGAGTCTTTATTTGACTCAAAAGCTGCGGCAATTAGGGTTTAGTTTTGGAGGCTCTGATACCAAGATAAACTTGGTAATTGTATTGTATATTATAATTATGTAACGTGTACATGATATATATATATATATATATATATATATATATATATATATATAATAGATACAGTTACACTTTAGTCCCTATAATATTATCTATTATCTATCGTCTAATACCAAGTAAAGTATTATACTGCTTGTGATGTTTATACAACTTCTCATTATGTTATTTGCAAATGAGTTTTTCCTAGCTGTCTCATTGTTTAGAAGAGCATTAATTTTGTTCTAAGGTTACATATATTAACAAAGGAAACTAAAAATGTTTTGATTATCAGTTAAATATCTTAAATGCTCTCTCTAATAATCACAGAATAGGAGAATCTTGTAGATAAAGAGATATTGGTTATTTATTACATTTTTATGATAACATATTTGTTGTGATTTATGAGTTGATATTATCGATTATTTATTACATTAGTTTATATTATTTAATTCGCTACATTTTAGGGCCTAAGGGCCTTTCTTCCGGTTCGTCCTAGACATTTGAATCCTAATGACCGACCTGGTTCAAAGTACGCTCCCCGGTAAAAAATATGTGATAAGATCCAACTTTGGACCTTCAAAACTTTTTCATATGAAGTTTGTTTGAGGTGATTTTTTTTTATTATGTTCTATGTAACAGGGGTTATGCATGGATATATCATACAACAAATATGGAGGTCGGGAAGTCATGCTTGTTTAGCTGAACAGTGGGATAAGTTTTTAATTTTCCAAATATCACCATTATCATGGATGGACACTTTCGACTACAAATTCAGACACTTTGACTATGAAATCCTCGAATTTATTATGAATCATCATTTCAGGAAGAAAGGGTTAAATAAATAACTGCTTCATCTGAGGGAAAACATTTTTTTAGAGATGCGTCTAATACATCACATACCACTATCATCAAACCTCTATACACAGAACATAAAACAATAACAATTTCATATCATTTTATTTCACTTTATTTGTAAGTAAATTTCATATGTATCTTTACAAAATGTTTTATGTTTAATTATATTTTATTGAACATTATCGTTGTTTACAAGTGTATGCTTGTATTGTAGCTTTCAAGATTAAGTGGTTCGGTAAGCTCAACAATGGAAAATAATCTGTATCGCCTTGCTGTAAAGTAAAAAGATCTTGTTGATATCACTGTGTTAGGATCTATTCAAGAGTATTGTCATGTGGAAGAGCAATTGTTAGAGTTGGGATCCCTTTACCATTGTCGGAAGCTGATGAGCGTAGGAAGTTATCATTATATAATAAACAAATGCTTGTAATTAAAATGGATGAAGATATACTAATGTTTATCAACTCATTCAAATGCAATACACAAACACATATGACAGTTCTAAACATTTGGAGTGATTTCATGTGTTTGAAATAATTGAAGCCTATATCAAATTGTTTGACGTTCACAAACTCACAGCTTGGTTCTACCTTAACCATGTTGGAAGTTCACAAGATCGATGTATATAAAGATAATGTAATGTGATTTTAATGGAAATATGCAATGTTTGTGGTTTTTTGTATTTTAATTTAAATAAAATGAATATGTAATTAAAAGAAATTAAAGTTCTCTTGAATGATAAATCCAAACATAAATTATTCCCTAAATTGTTAGGCCAAACAATCATCATGTAATTTGGTATTTTCCATTGAGATGGAGACAGACGCGGTAGAGGTGTTGTTTGGTATAAAATCTGATACGCTGCAGAATTTTTGTAATTTTGTAACAAAAATGTGACAATCGAGAAAAAAAATGCTAACCGTCGCAATGTCACTATCACATTCCTACATGGTATACTATAACATTTTCCCATTTGTACAAGTAATGGCGTCGATATCTACGACACAACTCCTTGTAAAATGTTGTACATCAAAGATGTTTTCGCATATGTCTGTTGCTTCCCATGTTACAAAATTGCTCATCCTCTTAATCACCGTCGATGTATTAGGGGTGAATGCAACAAACATCCCTCCAAATTCATTGTGTTCGACACACATGCGTAAGACCATCTCACGCATAACCTCAATGAGTGACGTTATCGGTAAAATTCCTATTCAACTACCGATAAAATGTTGATTTCATCGGGAACACATATGGTATTTACATTAAAACAAGTTTTTAGGGAAAATGATATCGTCCTTTTTGCGTGACCAATATTGTCACACCTGAAATGTGCATTCCCTCTACTAAAGATCTCGATTAAAATGTGAAGGCTACTCAATTTTACTTCAAAATCAGACATTGTAGAAGATACACGGTTCAGCTCGAACAAAGTTTCTATTAGTGTATATTAGATTAGCCCATGTTTATTATGTATAACCCAGTTGTGTATTGTCCAGTTAGGCTCGTGTTGTATTGTATTATATATTGTTGTTAATGAAATCTCCCTATTCATGGGAAAATACTTACCCTAAAATGGTATCGGAGACCACCACCACCACCCAACCCTAATTCTCATTACCTCCTACCTCCTCCAGCCCTTCATCGTTGACCACCCATTCTTCTTATTGCATATCCCCTCCAATATTCTTCCTTTCTTCTTATTTCTCATGGCAGGTGACGATTCCACCAACCCATCTATCAAAAATCCCAAACCATAAAAATTCACCAACATCAAGGTTTTTGTTCCTCTCATGCTTGATCTCTCCGTACTTAACTATGATGCTTGGCATGTTCTTTTCTATACCCATTGCAAAGCATACGAGGTTGTCGGTCACTTGCATGACACCTCCTCTTCCACCACCACTAACAAAGAGGATTGGTCCAAGCTTGACAATTTGTTCACTATGTGGAGTTATTTCATAATTTCCCAAACTCTCCTCACCCTAGTTCTCAAAGAAGGATGGTCTGCTCATTACATTTGGAAGTCTCTTGAAGAAGTGTTCCATGATAAGAAAGAAGCATGCACTATTGAACTTGAAAACGAGCTTTTCTCCATGACCCTTGGTAATCGTACCATCACCTATTTCTATGCTAAGATGACTGCCAGCATCGATATTATGGCTAACATTAGTGTGTTGGTTCCCAAGAGAACCCTTGTCACCCATCTTCTCAATGCTCTTACCCCTAGATTTGACAACATTGCAAATCTTATCCAACATTGGTCCCCATTTCCATTGTTTCTATATACCCGTTCCATTCTCAATTTGGAGGAGTCTCGGCTCAACCATGATCGCCCCTCCCATACGGTCCACTCCGATTATGCCTCCTCCCTAATAATCCTCAATACTAGCTCCATTATTGCAACTCGGGATAACCGGCCTACCCGCTCTAGCAACAACTGCGTAACCGGCCCTGTGACAATCACCACCAAGCACCGGATCAACGTCTCCTTACTCCTACTAAAGTCGGTTTCTATCCATCACCGCCTTCATGGAAGCCTCCTCGCCTTCGTGGTGGCTTATATCATCAGTGACAACAACAAAACCGACTCTAGTCGGGCCGGATTCTCCTTGGCAGCGCCCCAAAACAACCCTCACGGCAGGTCGTTCAAGCCCAACTATCCGCTACCACAACTTCTACTTTACAAACGCGTATTCATGCCCCGTCGAAACGGATTCCCCCGGTTACTCATGATCAAGCTACATATTTAAATCAATCCTTTAATGCCATGTTGATTTTTGATCCTCCGGACAATACATGGTATATAGACACAAGTGCTACATCTCACCTTGCTTCGGACTCAGGTATCCTCAATTCCATTAGCAATACGATCATATTTAATTTGGTTATTGTTGGAAATGGTTCCTCTATTCATGTCACTCATACCGTCCGTAAGATCCTTTATTCTCACCACCGACCTAAATTTACACCTCCATCAAATCACTACTACAAAATACTCTTTAATAACACACATTACGTGTCATAAAAAACCCATAGATGACACGCAAATACGTGTCAAGGAAGGCCCTGTCATAAAGGAAGACGACACGCATTTGTGTGTCGTAAACTTACGACGCGCATGGACGACATGCATTGCGTGTCGTTGAAGCCCCTGTCATAAAGGAAGACGACACACATTTGCATGTCCTAAACTTACAACACACATTTACGACACACATTGCGCGTCGTTGAAGCCCCTGTCATAAAGGAAGACGACACGCATTTGCGTGTCGTAGCCTTACGACGTGCATTTACAACACACATCGCATATCATTGAAGCACCTGTCATGAAGGAAGACAACACGCGTATTCATTCCCCGTCGAAATGGATTCCCCCGGTTACTCATGATCAAGCTACATATTTAAATCAATCCTTTAATGCCATGCCGGTTTCCGATCCTCCGGACAATACATGGTATATAGAAACAAGTGCTACATCTCACCTTGCTTCAGACTCAGGTATCCTCAATTCCATTAGCAAAACGATCATATTTAATTTGGTTATTGTTGGAAATGGTTCCTCTATTCCTGTCACTCATACTATCCGTAAAATCCTTTATTCTCATCACCGACCTTTACACCTCCATCAAATCACTACTACAAAATACCCTTTAATAACACACATTACGTGTCATAAAAACCCATAGATGACACACAAATGCGTGTCAAGGAAGGCCCTGTCATAAAGGAAGACTACACGTATTTGTGTGTCGTAAACTTACGACGCGCATGGACAACATGCATTGTGTGTCGTTGAAGCCTTGTCATAAAGGAAGACGACACACATTTGCATGTCGTAAACTTACGACGCACATTTACAACACACACTGCGCGTCGTTGAAGCCCCTGTCATAAAGGAAGATGACACGCATTTGCGTGTCGTAGCCTTTCGACGTGCATTTACGACACACATTGCGTATCATTGAAGCACCCGTCATGAAGGAAGATAACACACATTTTTGCATGTCATAATTTTAAGTGTTTTTAAAAAAATTATTTTTCATATATTTACTAATTTTCGTATAAAATAACACAATTTAAAGTTTCATAATACAAAATAAATACCATGAAAGATAATTCATTGCACAAAATATAATATGTCAAATACAAATGATCATTCCAATGATACATTAATTGCTAATATTGCATAAAACTTCATTATAGAAAAAAATCACAAAATTAAAAGGAACATGTGAGTAATTTTTCATTTGATAGTCTCCATGGCAGATTTAAGCCTTGCAACTTCACCACTTGAAGATGCATCCATCTCGACCAGTGTTAACTCTTTTTCTACAACAAACTAGTTTCCACCTCATGAAATTGCATATTTGTAGTTAGCTGCAAATCATTTTTTCAGAAATAAGTTCTTATTATATTATATAACTACTAATCTTCCTCTACACAGTACATGCATATTATAAATCGTAGTAAATGAAGTTCTTGTAATATAAACGAACATTCCATGTGTTTTCATACTAGGCAACGAACTTTGAAAACATCAAAGAAAACGAATCATAATTGAAGTTCTTACACCATACACACTTCACCTTAAGTAATAATGCACCCAACACCATATATACCAGTTGGATGAAATTACACATACTCAAGATCCTGAAAGAAATCAACAATTAATTACAACCATAAATACTAATGACATCCATGTATCAGTCAATGTGAGAATGACAAAGTTTAGTTATAGCCAGGAGGGTATTTTGGAAAACCCACCAGCAACAGGGGAAATTTTGTCCAAAAAAATATTTGAACGACATAATCATCTTTAAATAACATCAAATCAGCACCAATCTGTCTATATCATCTTCATTTTGACCACCAAAACAATTAAATGACCTTGAAAGGACACATAAGTATGTACAATAGATACAATATAACAACTTAATTACCAAAAACAAATAAAATTACAATACTTGACTATAAAAGGTTTATTAGATGTTCTGTACTAAGTCAAAAGAAAACATCCATTTTTTCTCTGAACTCCTCTCATGTTAAAATTGATGAATATTATGAGATTTGGTTTTTCAAACAGAAGGGTAAAATGGTCATTTTGTCTCATTTAGACGGTTTATTGAGTCTAGAAAAAAAACAACGCTTGGAGAAAACTTACTTCTAAAAGAATTGTCTCGATTTCTAATGCTGACAACTTGTGTCCACCAACCTTCATTATATCAGCATTAGTACCTAATTTAAGGACATAAAAGTGTCAAAATCCACGCTGATTAAAAGAAAAAAGTATAATGGAAATCGAATAAATTAAAACAAATCTTACGTCCCAAAATTACATAATATCCGTCTTCATCAACTTTAACAGCATCACCAGTTTTAAAAAAAGCCACCCTTTAAACAACAAAGAGATTTGCACACAAAGGTCACCAACCCCATCATTACCATCATCTTCTGCAAGATTCTTGACCTATTACAACAATTATAATCCCATATTATGAATTTGTTTTTTTTATTTCTTAATTTATATTACAAATAACATATAGTCCCAGATTTTTGCTAATTTTGCTAACCTCCATTGCTGGAAAGGGTTTGCGTATAGTGCTCCCTTTTTGTATTCCTTTTAACTAATTTGAAATTGCCATCACAAACTAAAAGGACAACTAAGCAATTGCGAAATTCCAAAAGTTGTGCAATTAATTTTTACTGACAAAAGTCGCAAAAAGATGCAAAAAAGCGTACAAAAGCTTTTATTTTGCGAAATTGGTAGGGTACATTTATAAAGCAAATTCTCAATTTGTGGCATCACTTTATGCTATTGGTAGAAAAAGTGGTCAGTTTGTTAAATGCATTATCCAAAAACAAAATCTTTTTTTAGTCACTTGTAGTAATACCTATGCCATGCCATATCTTTCTAATAATTGATGTCATGTGATGGTCTCCCACCTTTGCATTACGGTTAAGGATAGAGGTGAGGAGCAACATATCTGGAAATTAAAAATATTAATAATTTATAGTTTTTAAATATCAATAATCAAATTCCAATCTAAAACAGGAAACATTAAATCGTAGGTTATATCTACATGTTTTTTAAAAAAATAATCACCATTAGATACATCTATCTTTGTTGGGTCAAAAATATGGTTTATACTTTGCTTTTCTAAGCATTTATTATTTTTAGTCTTGGGCCGAAAATATTATTTGGTGTAATTGTAGCTTGAACCGAAAACACATGGGTTTTCGGTTTGGGCCTTGGGTTTTAGTCCATTAGTATAAATATAGATGTAAAGGTGAGGAATAGAGGTTAACCATAGATTTAGACAAGGGAGTGGAGCATGTGCTAGAGAGAGAAACTAGAGAGAACTTGTATATGTGTGTGTGAATCTTGTGTTGGAATATCATTCTAATCATATAAACATTGAAAATTCATCAAGTTCATATTCTTCTTCTTCTCCTTCTTCTTCATTTTGATCTTGCATCATCCAATTGATTGGGATTCCGCACCATCATTGGATCTGACTGATACATCAAGCAAAATTTGGGATTTACAGTTGGTATCAGAGCCAGGTTGTATCAATCATTTTGGCAAGATCTGAAGCGTTTTTGCACTTTTTCTTGAAGGATGTTACATTTTTGGATAGTTTTTGAAGAAATATTGGTGGTTTCTTCTTCAAGTTTTTCATAAAAATGAGTTTTTGATCGAGTTTTGGGCTTAAAAAGGTGAAAAATGCTGTTTTTTTACGTAATCTGCGAGGGGTTTGCGGTCAGAAGAAGCTTTCACGGCCGAACCGAAGAAGCTTTTACGGCCGAAATCTCGTTTGTGGTCCGAAGTCGAGCACGTGTTCGGTCCAGTCCTCGTTTACGGTCCCCTCGAATCTTCGGCCCAGCAGGTGTAAAGGTCGAAGACCTGTTATAATATGTCGAAGTCATAAGTTTATTTTACAAGGCATTTTACGTATCGAAGCGTATTGTTTAGTCTTTGTAATTTTTTGTGTGCTTTCATGTTTCCTATAAATAGGGACATTACTTAGAGTTAGATAAGAGTCTTTGTATGAACTTGTCTACATACTCTCTGTAACAGTGAAAGCATAATAGAGCTGAAACCAGATCATATTTACATCGTGTGTTCAATCTATATTCGTATAACTCTGATTTGATTCATACTTGATTCAACACTTCATCAATTTGTATCAGAGCAGGAATCATGATCTCAGATCTAATTTTCACTCTGATTCAAAAGATTTTTGAATCAAATTTCTGGTTCGAAAAGTTCCGCACCTTTTGACGTGAAAAAGCGTTCTAGATCTTCA